TCTCAGTGACTATCCGCACCTCATTGGACGAGTCGAAAACCACAGCTTGATTACCAACGCCAGGTCTAGCCTTGTTTGGTATAACGAAGACGTAGTCCCTCAAGTACAGCAGGAATCATGCTATCGATGCGCAACCAGAAAACGACGAAGGCACCACTAATGATCGAGGGCTGGCTCGATAGGTGCGGGCGCGTTGGAGGCTATCACGGCGTCGGCCGATCGTTGTGTGACAGCAATGCACGTAATTGACGAAGCAACAGGAGACCCCCCCAACTCTTTCGACCAGACGTTGAAGCGTAGTGGTTTTCCTCAAATCGCTAGATCTGGCTATGAATTTGCGTGCTTACCAAGACCGCGGCCGCGTCGAATCTGGCCAAGTTCGGATAACCCGTACCTTGCAGCAAAATGGCTCACTCCTCGAAATAGTTGAGCGCCGCTGCACCATACAGAAAGGTTCCATGTCATCCGATATCAGTAGTGGAGCGCGGCACGTACTTCGCTGGACAGTGTACGGACAGATTGAGTTCACCAGGCCTGAAGGAGCATGGCAAGATTCAAGTCCCCGAACCCCTGAGCTCAGGAGCAGAGTTGCCGGCTAACGAAGTGAAAAATTCCAGGGTCCGGGGCGCAGAATTCCAGAGCTTAACAATGTCGAAGTGTGAGTCAATTGCGCCCCTGAAGGCGTTGAGGGACAGGCAGAAAAAAATCTGCAATACTCGAGTCGCCAACGTTACCAACATCCTCTGCTTTGGGCCAAATCAGGTGTGTCCTCCGGAAGCACAGAGCACGTTATTTACACACAGACACCATTCTGGGTTTGATTCGATCTTGGCTGCCATGTATTAAGCGCGATCGTTGTTCTCGGCCTCTGCTCTCCCCCATGTCAGCAACCAGACAGGCGCTGTCTTAGAGTCACCCCTCTGTCATGCTCAGCGTCCCCCACGCTTTTGCTCTCTATTTTTCTTTGAATTTTTTTCCCAACCCTTGGCGAGAAGACTGACCAATCTATGCCCTGGTCATATCGATATGCTGGAGATGCAGTGTAACTACGCTACGGATACAGCATCAGGAGTTTGTGCGAAGAAAATGGCCGACTGGCGAGAGCGACGGGAGCTGCAGGGGAGGCCTGTCCATTCAAGTCCTTTGCTATAGCCCGTCTTCGGACAGCCGTGTCAACCATTTGGAAGAGAAGCGGCGGCAGGAGACGTAGAGTGGCTCAGAGCGAGGCGTCTTGCAGCCCCTTTCGCTACCTACTCAAGTTCTCCCAGGCTTCACGAGAATCATACCTACACAACAGTCTCAGACATTTGGTGTTGACGTTGTTGCAACTTCGTGTCTTATTTGGGCAACAACATCGGAGGTTCTCATATTATGACGGTGGACGATCATAGGGCTCCAGTCCCAATGATTCCCAAATCCCTTGGAGGAGCCGCCGAGTATCGGGCTGAGGTGAGCGTCCGCGCCGCCATGACTAGAATTGTGCTGGATGCAGCAAGGCGCAAATGGTGTCGACCCACGCATGTTGAAAATCCCAATGGCGAGGGACACAGGCGGCGGGAGAGCCCTCAAGCGAAGGGCCGCTCTGTTCCCGTTGCCTAACCCACCGTATTGGATTCGAAGGCGAGTGGACGATGGGCTCGGGCAAACACCTCCTGCGCCAATAGCAAACATGTACAGCCAGGCATGCTCGCGCCATAGCGACGAACGATGTTGGTGTTTGTCGGTTTGCTCGACGGCGTCAGCCGCCTCTCATCTGCCTCTTCACCTTCATTTCGGGGTTTGAGTAATCCCCCTTGATTGGCTCATGACTGTTCCCTGTATCAAGTGGAATCAGATGGTATCCGTACGCTTGGCCCATCATTATTCATCGTGGACAAGAAGCACACTCAAGCCGCAAGTGGGTTTACCGAATGACCCCAGATGTCATCAAGCCAACCACCACCCCACCCATGCGGCCATGTATGTATGTACCTCCCATGCCTTTGCTCCTGTCTCACTCGATTATTGCTTTTTTTTACAAGGTGCTCGTGCGGCGTAGGTCGCGGAGAAAAAGGGTTAGTTCATCAAAAGAGCGTGATGTTGCTAAGCCTCGTTTGGACTTCAAGTCTGAGAAGTGATCTGGTGATGGGCCCACTATTCGTGTCAAATGGGCCGGTTCAGTAAAGTGTTGCGTCGAAACGATAATTGTCGTTTTCCTTTCTCCGCATTCTTGGTGGGCTCTCCTTCATCTCAAACGGGGCGGGTCCGTGGGAAACGGCGGAGGCATGGCGAGACAAACCAAAAGACGACGAGAGAGATGGTCACATTCTCAAGGCTCGAGGAGCGGCTGACCGATGAGCATGGATTGGGAAGACTGGCCAATGTTTCTGTATTCGTACGTCTGCACACTGGTCTCACTCCGCAGATAGTGTGGTGATCCAAGTCCCGGACATACTGAGTGGGCGGTGATGCAATCGTCGTTCGGGGGGGGGTTTAATTTGAGACTTGAACGACGAGCATCTCCGTGTCACGTTATTTCCTTCCCCGCATTCCTGGCGAGATGACGGGTGGAGCCATCCGACGCATGGCTCGCATCGACCAACAAAGCCAAGCTTGCCCGCCCACTTGCTTGAATCCTTGAGGCTTGGATTCCTGTCTATGCTGTATCCATATTACGTAGTATGTATACGGAGTAACTTTGTTTGTATAGGTATGCTCGTAGTCCGTTGCGTCTCTAGCTTCGATGTCGATTTGGCAAAAAGAAACAGCAACTGACGATCCTTTCAATCATTGTTATAGCCCAAGTTTGGGTGCTGCTCAAACCAGCTTTGATCTAACTAGACAGCTAGAAGACGCCAAACTGAACATCTCCCACCACCATCGCATGACTGCACGGATTGAACATGTCTATCCGGAGTCATATTTTTTCCCCTCTTGATACTCGGACGAAGGCGATACATCAGACGAAAAGAATGCAAAGGCCTCTCAATCCATGAATAGCATCACTCCGGGCGTAACGCCACACCATCACTATCCAAGTCCCTGCCCTGTCGACTATTGAAATCCCCCCCAAAGCCACGCACGAAAAAGGTCGAACCCACATCCGCCGTTTCCCTGTTTCCATTTTTTTGTTCCTTACCCCAATCTGTCAGGGGGTGGTTAGCTGCAGGCAGGCCAGCAATAACGGATGCAACTCCTCGTTGGCCTGTTCATAACTGCAATCGCTTATCCAGAAGGAAGCGAGAAGAGAATAGGTAGTAAGCACCATGGATAGATAGACTAGAAAGAGAGAGAAAGAGAGAGAGAGAGAGAATGACCGTAACGGGCGACGTGCATATCCGAACATGTCAGGGCCATTGGCACCGTAAGAATGCAGTTTCTGGTTGATGGTGAGCATGGTCGAGAGCTAGTGGTTGCCTGCCCGCCTGCTTATTGCCCTCGTAAGCATTACGGGTTCGTGAGCCTTGGGGACCTGGGGTTTACCTTGCTTCCAAGGCGATCACGCACTCACTGCTTTGCTTAGCGTCTCCTGGAGCCCGTCGAGGGGGTGGGGGGAGAGGGCTCTCTTACAGGCCTCGAGCTTACGGTCAAGTTACAAGTATGATGATGGTATCAGCAAGCGAGCACGTCTTTCTGGGGGATGGGTAAGAGGTATTTCGGACTAGCAAACTCCAGAGGGTCTAGGACTCTAGAGACTGAGGGAGGGATTGACTGTGAAAGGGACGCGTGGCTTGGCAAACCAAACCGACACCCCCAGCCCAGTCTCCGGACACTATCGTATCCGACAGGAACGACACTGCCGTTCTAGCCTGGTTGCTGCTTAATTCCAGGGGGTGTGGGGGAAGGGAAGGGGTTTTTCTTGGGGGGAGGGGAGGGCTCTGCGACGCTTCGGACAGCGCTTACTTCACCTGGCCACGCCTGGTCCGGGCAGAAAACGAAAGGAATATTTTATGGTGCTAGGACTAGGACTATCTGACGCAACGGTCGTGATAACTGACAAAAGTTGCGGGGTGCGACGGCGGCGGGCGGGCGGGCGTTGCGTTTTTTGTGTGGGACTGGGCTGCGGGCAGTAAACAAACTTGTCTCGGTCTGCGACGCCTTGTTGATGGGAACTTGATATGCGGGTAGTTTGGCATTGTGGGACTCTTTTTCGTGCATGGTCTTCGAGCCATTCTCATCCAGCTGATAACTCTTGTTATCTATGTCATTTTCACGTTACTCGAAACGTCAAGTCGGCTCGAATGAGGGGGGCGAGTTGTCCATCGCTCAGTTATTTCGACATGCTTTGGGCGAGAGGGGTTCGGGATTTGGTGTTACACGAATGGTACCGCAGTCCTGACTGTTTCTGGGGCAGGCAGACAGGCAGGCAAGGCAATGATGGGTTCGGTCACGGGTGAGAGCTCGGGAGGCTCGTAACCCTCGCATCGCAGTTGGTCCGTGATACCCTGGCGGCGCCCTCCGAGGACTGTCAACTTTCGTGAGGGGGAAGGGAGGGTTGCAGAGGCCCAGAGGCTAGAACTGACGACAGCGGCGAGTATCCAATCATTCATCGCTTCTTTAATGGTCCTTGAGCCTGCCGGTGATCGTGCTATACGTCTATATCATCTCACAATTTTTTGGAGTTACGCAAGAGTCGTCCTGCATTTTGCCTGCCCCCCGTCGACGAAATGAAAGTGAGGTTGGGGTAGTAGGATCGTAGGGTCGTAGCAGGCGAAAAGGAGTACGTGCCTTTGGTTCCGTCTCAACCGCCTGGGCCTAATCAGCTTCGCCTATTCGAAGATGGTAGGTATGCCTTTGGAAATTGAGAGGGCGTTGCAATGTCTCGGAAACATCGTGATAGACGACACCATCTCTCTGGTCATCCTCTCCTTGAGTCTTTTATTTTTTTCGCCTTGCGGGCTGTGAACGTTACGTAACCTACGTTGATCGACTGTTGGTGTGAAGCTAGGGATCTACAACTTTACAAGTGGCATGTATTGCATCTCGCTTCTGCTATGGAGGTATTATTCTACCCTTTCTTTTCAAACGGTTCCGGTGTTAAGACGCCGTTGGGTGGTGTCCCGTCTGGAACGCGAACCCACGCGCCGCAGGGTCGCTTCGACGCCGTTGGCCTCGTAAGTCTCAGCTTTCTTCTTCTTTCGTGGGCGTGTTTTCTCTTCTTGTGGCGAAAGGTCAAACATTCTCTCTCTCTCTCAGCGTCCCGGTAGCGTACAATAACAAGGAAAGGAAGACAAGAAGCATGAACGAGAGACCATCCTCACTCATTCAAGTCCAATCGAACCATTCCCCTTCACCCCTTGCTTGGAAACCACGCCGATATGCAGACAACCAAGTGCTCAAACTAAAATCGAAAAGCAAGAGGAAATGACAAGTCTAACGCCACCAAGCAACCATCGCCGGTCGACGAGAGTGAGAAGAAGGTCCGCTCCAAAAAAGCCTTCAGCTTTGTCTTGAACTAGCTATCTATTCTGCCCACGGCGCCATGTGGCCTGTTCCCCCCTTCTCCTCCTCCCACGCTCTGTCCCAAAGGAGAGGCACGCATCTGTGACGGGATGCACGAGTGTGCAGATTCCCGGCCACCACCATCGAACTCCGACCATCGACACCACTGTCGTCCCATTTCTAGGTAGGGAGAGAGGGTGAGGAGAAAGGGGGGACTAGACCTTGCAGACACCCTCGCGCCGGGCTTGCCTCCCATACTTCTGCACCAATCTTGTGTGTGGTGGTTGCGACCCCTCCATTTCAACTGTGCAGCCATCGTCGACCAGTCACTCAGTCACTCGACGCCAAACATTCAACAGCCCATCTTGCCTCCCAGAGCCAAGTGTAGGGTAGGGTCATTTCCCTCTGCGGCCTCCTCCTCCTTCCATCTCCTTCTCCTTCTCGCCACCCAAGCCAATGTAGGGGCGAAAGTACACACAATAGACGCTCAGCTAAGATTCTTCCTACACTCACGTCCACATCCAGCCGTTCCACGCCTGTGGGCTCCCCTCTCCGGCTTGGTGCTGTCCCGACTTGGACTACTGAAGGTGTGGCCTGCATCAGACCGGGCTGACCGGGCCACACCGTGAGCAGGAAAGGCGCAGGAAGGGGGCTGATGACAAGGCAGGCGGCTTATGTGTTGCTGGTGGTCTCTCATACACACCTCTTTGGGAAACGATAGAACCGATTCTGGCTCACCTGGCCCTTAGCCATCGTCCTCCTGATGAAGCAGAAACTTTCTTGCTCTCAACCTGCTTTTTTTTCGCAAGAGGCAACCATCATCTCACCGTCGGGTCAGCCAGCCTCACGGGATATTTCTTATCGCAGAAAACACCCCTCCATCTTTGATCCATGATGGGTTAGTGGGGGAAAAGGTCACCGAGCCAGGTGAGCCGTGAGCCGGTCCAGCCCTGGCGAATAAGGAGGTAAAGCCCGGTCAGCAGTCCAATGAGAGGTGGTCATCTTCGTTCCTGCTTCGGCATTTCTTTTTGCTATTTCGTTTCCTGCCGAATCTGCCAGGGGCATTTCCCTCTGGCTGGGACCAAGGTCAAGGGGAATCGATCCTTGCTAATGCAGTCCAGTTCTCGCTCGAGAGCGGGCGCTGTCGAGCTATTGTTGGTTGGCTTACAGATCACCAACACTGCTTTTCATCATTTCATCTTGAGGCTCATTTCTGGGCTACCGGGGGGTAGGATGAGAGCCCTGGCAAGCTGTCAGCGAGCTTTCATTGGGGAACGGGGATTCCTCTGAAATTTGGGCCGGATTCCGTCCGCGACGGGCGCGCGCTCCCTCTCTCTCTCTATCTCTCTTGCGGCCTGCCTTGCAAGGCCCCGGCCGGACCTAACGGCGAGGAACCACGGAGTTTTGTTTGGGAGGATCCAATCAATGGAACCCGTCCATCTCCCGAGCCGCCGGGCCTAGACCGTCCGTTCATACTCTACTTCCCCTGTCATCTCACTGCCCCCCCTGTTCGAGGTGGACAGGAGTTCGGGGTTTGTTGATCAGTGAAGAAAAACACACCCCTTGAGCTCTTGTTTCTAACGGACATTAACCGGCTATTTGATACAGATTGCTGATCTTGTCCAGATGGGTAGACACGGCTTTGAAGTTGTGAGAATTTGAGAAGGAGCCCAGAGTCAGGGGCGCACAGGGGCTGCGGCCGCGGGCAAGATACTGGTATGATCGATGGGAGTTTGCAAAGAAACAGAGACCGGGGGCGTCTCGGAGGTGATGCATCATACACCCCTTGGCAAGCTGGCACTTTTTTTTGCCATGGCGCTCGACTTTTTGGATTCACAACGGCAGTTGGTTGGGGAGAAACAAGAATTGAGAATTTGAGAAGAAAAAGAAAGCACGGATTGTGACGGAAACAGCCGGTGAGCTGTCGCACAGACTGCCAATCTTCACCGATGAGTGTCCCCCCGTCTCCGGGCTTTCTTTTTCTTTCTCTCTCCACGCCATGCCATGCCCGCATGTTGCTGGCCGGTAAGGCGAGCCTCCGGCGCGGGAGCTGGGCTCCACACCGGTGGGATGTGGAGCGATGGGGGGGAGCTCGGTGCTTGATGCTTTGGAGGAGGAGGGGAAGAAGCTAAGCTACAGCTACCTGGAATATCAGGAAGCAAAAGACGGGAGGTCGCAGCTTTCGATTCGGGGATGATAGCACGTTGGCGAGCTGTGGCGGCGCTTCTTCTCCTCCCTTGCCTTTCGGTCTGCTGAGGATGGGACGAGGATGCGGGTGCCCGCGCATCAAACCAGCTCGGCTTGCCTAGCCTCTGGGTCGCACAAGGCCACCGAGACGCCTTTCAGCTATGCCGACGATGAGGGGAGAGACGGGAGATCGCGTCGAGAATGCCAGCATCCGTGGACCGTGAGGCCTTTTGGCGTGATGGCTTACTCTCCGGCGAGCAAGGATTTCTGCTGCTGCGCAGTTGGGATAGGCAGAGCAGCTAGACGTACGTCTCCTAGTGTGAACGTGCAAGAGCGGAGGGACCCGTACACGCGCTGTGCTCCACGAATCGACCAGATCGTTTTCTTCATGCAGGTCTCATCACGATGAAGGAAGCGTATCTCGGTTAGAGACAGATCGGTCTGGCTGCCGAGTGCCATCTTAGGGAGGAGATCAGCCTCGGAGGAGGACTAAGGAGTGCAATTTTGGATGTTCGTTAGTGTATTCACACGTCGACGTCGGGGATGGGTGAAGCGATGGTCGGGCAATCTAGATGGCGCCAGGGGTGAAGATCGTACGGGTCATAGATTTCGGAGTTTTTACTAGGGTTCTTTTGTTTGTTGGAGAGACTTTTTTTCCAGCTCTCTCAAATTTGTCCATGTTGGTGAGTGCGAAGAATTCCTCCCCCTTGTCTAGCTGCGGGGGCGATTCTCTTGTAAGCATCACGGTGACGAAACAGAAACAATTCGAATACTGTGGTCTTCTGGGTCTCGAATCCAGTAAGCGATATGACCACCTATGCGTCTGGAAGGCTGCCTGTCCTCTATCATTCATGGTGCCATATTGGCAAACTCACGCAATCTATTTGGGTTCCTTTGCGGGTGAGTGAACAGCCCCTGAAGACATGTTCACATGCTGGAATTCGGAGCTCGGAGTGAGTGTTCATGGATGGCGGGAAGACAAGTTGGCATGTCGCACGAACCTGCACCGCGCCGACTGGCATAAATACAAGACTTGAGGGCAGAGACCTACCCATGGCGTCTCATTCTGTCCCTCTACCTGTACAGTTGCAGTCACCCGACAGATGATGCGCCACGATCATGCAATCCTCGACTGTGGGTGTTTCCATCTCCATCATAAGTGTGACCTCCCTTCTCAGATGAAAGCGCAGGCCTCCGTCACGTCTCTCCGTTAGACCGGCTTTGCATGACCGAGGGCCTAGATCAGACCCTGCCGGGGGATGACGGCCATTGGAGCTCGGGGTTTGCTCCGGAGTTATCGTGGAATCGAGAAGATACTTCGTCGATGACAAGGATGGAACTCCACAGCTGAATGTCTCCTACCGCATGAATTTGGCTACTGGATGTGCCTTGTAAGCGATGGAGGGAGGGTCAACGTAGAGGCGGCTCGTCGAGATACAGACACGCTCTGAAAGGAGTGTGAAGTGAATTAGACATTAGCCTGGAATAGCTTCGTCCAGCGTGGGGGTTGAGGGTTTGATGACTGCTCACAGCAACGAGGATGGCAAGGGAAGGTGAGTTGCAATTGGCTATCTGGGGCTCTTTCCTTCTTCTTTCTTTTCCGTGGCAAAGACAACGCTTTCTCAGCTTGGCTGTGCAAATGCTTGACTGAAGTGTCTACGATGATGACAAGTTACCTCCGGTGTTAATGTTCGCAAGAGACTCAAAGCTAGCCTGAATTTCTGTTTCACTTCAGCTGCATATACGTCGCTTCGTAGAGCGGCGGGAAGAGTCTCCCAGTCGCTTCGGGCCTCTGGTGTCGTCGTCATGGATGAGCATCAGATTCTTGAGGCTAGAAAAGGGAGAAAGCAAGAGTGTGGGAAAGCCCCGACTTAACGAGAAGAAAAGTAAGTCCCAGTGGACATTCCCAAACGTGAGAGGTCTTGTACTGTTCAACTAGTACCACTGAGAGAGATTCAAACCTTCTAATCACGCACGCTATTGGGGAAATAGTAGGGAGGCAATCGCGACCTTTGAAGTCACTTGCAGTGGTTCAACTACTCGACTGCTACAGGTTATCGTCTCCTCCATCGGTCGAGGAGCTGTTCCATCCTTCTCTGGGAGTAGGCATGATCACGTAGATATTCTCTCCATAGCTGTGATACTTAGTCCGGTATATCTGAGTATCAAAAGATCATCGGGAAAGCGAATCAATGAGTAGGAACTATTACTCAAATTTCGGCGAGCACAAAGCTGTGTCTTACTAGCCATTCACATAGAGTTAAATGTAGAGAAGCATTGGCATAGTGTAGACATCGTGAGTGAATCGAGGGGGAAACGAATTCAAGCCTTGGCTCGTAATCCTAGGATAGACAATGCATTGTATTCCGTGGTGACAGCTCCCTACAGCTTTCATGAGAGTTTACATACCGCACGTGTACTCTTATTAATTATCTTTGAAGTAGATCGCTTATCGTTTGGTGGCTCAGATCTGCGAGTCGCTATCACTTCGTAAGCTCTGTCTGAGTCGGCTGCCAACTGTAAATGAAGGTTTCCAAGTAGATTAGATAAGATAGCAGGCACGGCCAGCGAGGATGTGGAACAGAACTCTGTTGCTTCCTCAATTTCATCGCATATGACGGGTTTCCTCCGATGTCGTTGGCAATTTTCGAGATTTCTTTTCCTTTGAGGGTGGTGTCTTCTCTGCGGTCTGACATGGGTGATCTTGAATGGCGCTATGCCATGCCCATGACAACAACCGAATTTAGAACTGGAACAGTCTGGCATGAGCACAAGATTGACGGAATAGGATACGTTGACTGGCGTTATCATACTATGGCTCTCAAAGCCTAGACCGAGTGGCCGTATTGTGGAAGTGAGAGCTCGACAAGCGCCATGAATTCGTGCTTGACTAGTGCCAAGCACATCTTCAGAACTATTCAAAGATCTGAAGCAAACGTGATATCTAAAGACCCAAATGTAACTAAGCTCCTGAGACTTTATAAAAGAGTTCTTAGCCTCCAGACATCAGAACCATTTTCGTAGGATCGACTAGATGCTTTTGAGACTGGCAATCCCGTCTCGATCCTAGTGGACAAAGATAGCATGATAACATGAAGTTACGCCAAGCAGTGCGGTATAGAGATATGTGAAAGTAGAGACTTTTGAAAGAAGCTGTATGGTGATAATCCGTAGAGCTGAAGATCCAAACTCCATGTTTTGTGGTGAATGTTCCTCCCCGCGGGCACGTCTCTAAGTGCTCACTTGAAAGGAATGCAGAAGCTCCCTGGTCCCCAATATTTCCTCAATTATAATGCGAGAATGAATTCGTCCAAGTGGGCATATTGGAGGTAAGAACGTGGACGTGTGAAGCTCAACCCGTGTAAAGCCGTTGATCGTGGACGTCCGTTCAAGCCACAGCTCACGCCACAACCACCGATCCGGACAGCTCGCACCGGCCGGCCCCACACCCCGCGGACCCCACCATCAAAAAACCCCTGCTTCCTTTGACTTTGCTCGGTAGAAAGCCCAAATCCTACCAACTTTTTGCGACCACATCCCGCCAAAAAAATCGAGCTTCCCTGAAACCACGACCAATTGACGAGACATTGAGCTGTTGCAAGCTCGACCAGGAACTACACGAAACTCCGCGAGTACTATACCCAGTCTGCGAACAGGGACGAAAACAGAGAAAAAAACCCACACCTAGAGAAAGCAATGGCGTCTGCACAGCAGGTTCTGCTCTCCCCGGCAGAGCTCGCCTACCTCCACTCGACCCTCTCCCTCACGCCGCCCATCCGCCCAGACGGCCGCAAGGCAAACCAGTTCCGCCCCCTGACCGCAGAGACGGGCATTCTTCCCGGCACCAACGGCAGCGCGCGCATCTGCTTCTCCGATGGCACGGAGGCCATCGTAGGCGTCAAGGCGGAGATCGAGAAGACGGCCAGCCCGTTTGGCGCAGACGTAGATGGCGAGGAGTCTCCAGAGACGAGGAAAGACGCGGGCAAGAAGGAGGAGGTCAAGGGCAACAATGACTGGCTCGAGATAACGGTCGAGATCCCGGCCTCCAGGGAGGACGACGCCGCGACTGTTTTTCTTGCCAACATGCTCAGCGAAGCGTTACTCGCTGACGGAGAGTTTACCAAGAAGCTACGGATCAACAGTCGGTTCCACTGGAAGCTCTACCTAGACGTTTGTCCCCCAATCTCCTCCCCCAACACACACAGACACACCGTTGTCTCTTTGAAGACTAGACGCTAACACACTATCCCAATAGATCCTCCTCATCTCCCCGCCTCTATCCTACCCGCTGCCCCTCCTCTCACTCACAACCCACCTCTCGCTCCTCGCAACCCGCCTCCCGCGCCTCAAGTCAGAGGGCGACGAAGACCCCATGTTCGACGACGACTGGCAGGCCTCGACGTTCCTGTACCCCCGCGACGGCAGCGCACCAGTCAACGGCGGCTCGCGACCGCCCATAACACTGCTCGTCATCGCCGTCGGCGGCAACGTCATCTTCGACCCCGCGCGCGAGGAGCTCGCCGTCGCGGAGTCGGCGTTGGCGGTCTCGGTCGCCGAGGAGAAGACAGCCGCCTCGACTGGCGGAATGGACGTTGACGGTCGCCAGCTGAAGCTGCTCTCCGTGCGGACGGTCGACCCGCCTTCGAGGTTGACGGCGCCCGGCGTGCCCAACTCTGTGAACCCGGCTACCGGTCTTGCGGGCACACCGTCAAAGGCACCGGCAGTCCCGGCGGCTGCGCAGGGACAGGCCGCGGAGGGAGTTTGGAAGCCGCCTATAGGAGGTACCAAGGTACACGTGATTGAGGGGATGATCTCCAAGGTTCTGGAGAAGGGGGGCGTCGCGGACGAGGTGCTGGAGGCGATTGCCGCGGTAGAGCTGGCCTAAGGGTTCGATCCCTAGGGCTTGAGAAAGGGGTTTAATGTTTTGCGATATGTCAGGATGGGCAATGGAAAGACAAAAGTCATGATACCAATTGGCGGTTCTGGTTTGTAGTGTCATGTTGTACATGGTTCGGTGGAGGGTATATTACAAAAATAGCGTGCTCATCCCCCGTTACATCTTACACATGGATGGGTTCCTCTTCTCTTATCTTGATTAGAAGATGCCAAGCCACTTCTTCCTCTGCCCGTTCTCTGCAGGTGCCGTCGCCTCGGCGTCTCCAGCTACGGGCGAGGCCTCCATCGCGGCAGCGGCCACAGCCTTGTCCTCCTCCGACTCTTCCTTCATGCCCAAAAAGTTGGCAATGGGGTTCTCCTTGTCCAGTCCGTGGACCTTGCGGTAGTACTGACGCTTCGCGACGTCGTCGGTGTGGCGCGAGTGCGCGGCAATGGCCTTTTCGTTACGGTCGCGCTCGTGGAGCTGCATCACATGTACCCATGTGCGGATGAACTGGATGGGGCTGCTCCAGAACTCGGAGGCGGGGGGCAGGAGGTGCTTGAACGGGGATGTCTGGGAAAAGTTGAGGACCAACGTCGAGATGGCCAGCGTCGTGAGTGTTCCCTAGAGGATCCAATGTTAGCCAAACCCATTGGTCCAAACAAGCTACGTCCCGCATATGTGTGTTCCTGCCAGTGGAGGAACACTGAGTTCTACTGACCAGGGAGATGAAGAGGTGGACTTTGCGGCTGTTGAAGAACCAATGCGCCCACGTCCCCTCGGGAGCCATCATGCCGGGATACTCGCGTGTGCGCTGGGCGCGGACTTCCTGGTTGCTGAGAGGACCGCCATAGTGCTTCGGGCCATTGTTCTTGGGCAACCGGGCGCCGTGGGAGGGCGGGTTGAACTTGGCCGGCTTCTCGAGGATGAGGGGTCCCTTCTGGCCCGCCTTTGTCGGCTTGGACGAGGCGTACCGAATCGTCCAGACCGCGTTCCGGCGGAGCGCCGCCGAGGCCCCCGTTACGGCCGGCCGACCGGTAGAGGTCGCTGCTACGCGCCACATGGGGCTCAAGGCCGGGAGGAGGAACCTGGGGAGGAGGGTTGTGGCCGAGGTCGTCATTGATGTTGTTGGTTTGCCACTATAAAAGCAGCGGCGGCAAAGAAATGGTGCTGGACCCTCACAACGTTGCCTTGCCCGATGTTTGCCGATGCTGCGAAGGACGGCGGTCAAGGAACAAAGTAGGTCACCTGGACGGCGATGGTTTAGACTTTCGGGGGTCAGGCGTCTGTTTCACAGCGTCATTGAGGCTCTGGTATGGATCAACGGGATCATCAGGTGCGCGCCGGCAGGATCGGTCGGGGCTGGAAAAATCGAAGCTCCAGAAGAATTTCTTTGCTCCAAAAAGTTACAGTGGAGCTCAGGTAAGGTATGATGAGAGGCTGGAAGCTAAAGGGTCGCCGAACTACCCCCGTCGCGCATCTGGGCGCATGTACGGGTACGTACCTGACCCATAGGAAAAACCCCCCTTGCTCACTTCAATGGACGATCGCGATGACCATACGGCTACTCTGTCTCGTGTGTAGCAGCATCAGCATTAACACTACAGCTATTATTGGCTGCAAGATTGACAGTTCGGGATCTGGAACAAACAGATGCCGAGGTGGAAGAGGCCAGAAAGCACGGATATGGGCAGATTTAGGAATCCCAGTCGAAGCTCGGCAAACGGGATGTTGGCGACAGCCTAAGAGGAACAAGTGAGAGATAAAAGACCAAAAAAAATGCTAGTGGCAGGGACACCGACAAAGGTCCCCGCTGGCCCGCCGCGCCGCCCCGTTGGTTGAGTCGTTGACCTGGCACTCCTGCCAAAAAGCGAGCTGGTCCCGTCACCAGAACACCGAGGCGCAGCGGAGAAAGCGTTCTTCCGGGAGCAGTATCCGGTTTTGCCCGGGTAGCGACCCCCAGACGCATCACCTTCTGACCAATGCTGCACATCTGATTGGCGGTCGCGTCGCCACACCGTGTGGCTTGTGCGCCGCGGTACCCAGGTTCAGTGAGCTCATTCCAGGCTTTTTTTCTCTCGTTGCGGCGTGTGCTGGGTACGTCGCCAGGTGCCTTTCCGCCGGGTTGTTGTCATAATTAAAATCGGATAGCCTTTTTTTGCCGTACTGTCGTCTCGTCTTTTTCTTTTCTTGGTCCGATCCGATTCTAAAAGTTTTTCTCTCCCCCTTCTTCCTCCATACCTCACTCTCAACCATCTACACCCCAAACGACCTCCTTGACGACCTGCAAAAGACATTCTTCTTTTGCACCTTCTACCTGATACCCCTTTTCAAATCCTTTTAATTATCCTATAATCCGTCAAAATGGCTGGTGGTAAGTCTCTCTCACCTCACGCGCGCACGCCGTCTTCTCCGTCCGTTTTCGCTTTGCTTTGCGGATCCCGATGATTGCCCAACCCTCCGAGCGCCTCAATCCGCCACGAGCCATTGAGCAGCGAAGTTACCCTCGCTGAGTCTGGAACGGTTCGGAACTGCTTCGCGGGCCAATTCGGCTTCGATTTCACCTCGTGCGACACCTCCGTCCTCTGCGATTCGTTTCTCCTAGCACCTCCGACATCTTGCGCCAATTTCCTGGCATCTCGCTTGATGGGGCAAAAAACAGGGGCCCGATGAGCGAGACACAAGGAGGCGTCGACAGGGGCGGCGAAGCAGCGTATACGCTCACGACGAGTGCTCACTGCGGGCGGTCGGGCTCTCATCGGGACTCAATCCAAGCGAACAACGAAATCTGTCGCGGAATACACATCACCTACCCAGACCAGTGAACTGACCTCGAGGAATCTAGGTGACGCTAAGAAGGGTGCCAACCTCTTCAAGACCCGTTGCGCTCAGTGCCACACCGTCGAGGCCGACGGCGGCAACAAGATCGGCCCTGCTCTGCACGGCCTTTGGGGCCGCAAGACCGGTTCCGTCGAGGGTTACTCCTACACCGACGCCAACAAGAAGAAGGGCATCGAGTGGAACGACCAGACTCTCGTAAGCTCTTCCGACGACGTTCAATCTCATTGCTCTGCTAACCATGAGCCTTCGTACAGTTCGAGTACCTCGAGAACCCCAAGAAGTACATTCCCGGCACCAAGATGGCGTTCGGTGGTCTCAAGAAGGAGAAGGACCGCAACGACCTCATTGCGTACGTTTTCACTGTCACTCAACATCTCACTCAAGACTCACTCACTGACCATGACAACAGCTACCTCAAGGATGTCACCAAATAGATGGATTGATGTGTAACGATAGGATTGCATTAGACGAACTGGCGATTTGCGTTTTGTACCAATAGACCACTCTAGAACAGTGTGTTTTGGGGGCTTCACTGAACAAGCCCATTTTCTCTCGAAAATTCTCCCCTTTCAAAGACGGTTGTAATACAACAAATTTCATTTTGCGAAACAAACGCCACAGACACATGCGCGTGCCATTTTTGATTGTTCCTGTAGCATCCGTGCCTGCAAATCATTACCGTGTCCATGATGTCAGATCTGGCGCGCCTTGTGACCCGGAGCTGGCCGGGGCCAAAAAAGAAAAAAAAACCTGCTTACTCAGGTAGTGCAGTAGTGCGGCCACTCTGTCCCCTTCAGCCAGTCAGATGGCTCGCTCTGTGTTGTCATCCTGGCACCTCGTCATAGGTCCCGTCTTGTCACCGAATCATGAATGTCAGGAACGTGTTACGGGATGCAACGGGAAAAGGTCGGTCAATTGTTCCAAAATAGCGGTTTTTGAAGGTCGTTGCGGCTCAAGCAGTCGTTCTGCAAGCATCAGAAAAAGTATAATCTTCTGCATGCCCCCGACCGGTGTCGACGACTGTCACTTCTCCACTCTCAGTGGTCAGTGAGTCTGGACCCAATCACACGATCGTCGTCGTCCGCAGGAGGACTTTCCCCGATTCTTGCGTTGAATTATCATCTTATTGTCCAGTTGAACCTTTAAAGAGCGAGGTCTGAGATGAGGTAAATGGTAAGTGTTGGGGATGCGATTGACACTGAACGTGCGCTCAACCCCTGGTTCTTGCTACAGCTACCTATTCTACGAGTAGTCTTGCAACCAGATGGCAAGTCCGAGATGATGTGTTAACACACAATAAGAACAGGCCAAGATGTGATCAAAATCACTTCCTCGTGCTTGGAAACATTTGGTTTGCTAAGTAATTCCCAGAAGGTCTGTACGTCTGAATGTGGTGTGCATGTCTGCCCAATCTTGGAATCCCTAGTACGTCCGTCTGCCCCGTGTAGACCATCGTTGACGACTTGGAGTCGGGAGAGAAAGGAGAGTAAATGCAATTTTATATGTACTGAAAATCCCATAGAACATCTGGCCGATGGGTGACCAAACAACGACGTGCAATTGAAGCTATCGTCAAAATCGTCTTTATTTCGCACACCCCTTAAGTCCTGAAGAACGTTTCCAACATCGGCTTTCTAACACTGTAGGCCACTGGATCAAAACCTACCTAGATTATACAGACCGCTTCCTGCAGCCCATCTTGCATCCTGCCTGGTAGAGAGGCAGAAACCTGTGCCTGAGGCTTTCCTCATTGGCCGCTCCCGCCCCTTGTGAGAAGTGAATCATCTCTAGATATCACCAACAAGCAATGGGCCGTATGGTCGAGGGGTCCTGAGCTGTAGAGGCCCCGGTTGAACCGTGAAGTTTCCGGTTTATTTCGGGGTCCATGTTCGATCCTTCGATCGGTCCATTGTTTGTTGACTTTTTTTGATTTGACCCCAATCTCTACCTAGGTACTGTTCACGATAACCACACCTGCCGGCTATCCCAGTTAGCCATACAAACCCAAATAATTACTCCATAACTACTTCATGAAAGTATATCGACCGAGCCTTCGGCCACTAGCTAAAATCAGCCGGTAAAGAATTAACTTACTTTACCTCATGTAAAGGTATTCAAGACGTTGAGTAGGTAGAGACTGAATTCATATTGACTCACTCTCAGTCCCA